ACTTAATACATTAGTTGCACACCGTAATGATGCTGCTTTAATTGAAAGACACAAAAAAATGTTGAAAAAAAAAATTAAATTTCTATATTTAAAATTTTAGCAACTCCTCCCCTTCGAGCACATACGTAGTTACACCAACGTAAACATTACTTTAGTCCGAAATAACAAAAATCTTTTCACACTTTTATCATAATTTTCGTAACATATATTTTCTTTAATTTTATATATATATATATATATATATATATGTGTGTGTGTGTGTGTGTGTGTGTGTGTATTTCTTATTACTATAATACGGTTGGATTAACAATAATTATATATATATAAAGTTGTACCCTCTGTCTGTCTGTCTGTTTGTTATCGAATCCCACCGAGGAGTTTGGAGATAGACACCCATAAACATATATATTTTGAAACTACATTCTTAAGGGTACTTGGATAAGCATATTACATTTTGATCAAAAGCGTTGCCCCGGAGCTGCACAACCCCAACACTGATTTTTTGTTCCCTTCGATTTAAATTAAATTTAAATTTGAACAAGGGAATGACTCCTATCTAAAATATAGAAGGAGAAAGTCAGAAGATGGAGGTCACATCGACTCTCTCTCTCTCTCACTCTCTCTCTATATATATATGTGTGTGGGGGGGGTCTGTGTGTATGTATGTAAGCAATTTTTATATTTTTTGACGATCGCAAGGAGTGTGAAACCCAGGGTCACAAACTCACATCAACGCAATCATATATATATATATATTATTTGAATCTTACCATGGTCGATTGGTGAATAAGGTGATGTAATTGGTCTTCAGGATTCCAGTGCTGCACCTTTGGAAAGAGCCTGAAACCCACATCCAAGAATCATGAGTGAAATTGAATAGGCGAAACCAACTTGAATTTACTGATGGCTATGCTAGTGCGAAGTTATATGTCACCGTGACATTGCATTGAAATTTTTGAAGGTCAAACTTGACTAGAAAGCAAAAAGCCGAAAGTGACTTCCACAAGTTAGTTATGCAATAGAAGAAAAAGCTAGCATAGAACTTGCGGTTACAGTTACCATTTAAACGGTAAATTGATAAGACCTTGCTGCACTTGAATTCATAGAATAGAAGGACTATAGAGGAAAGGTCATCAGAACAATTGCCATGGAAGTATTAACGAAAAAAAAAGCAAATGGAAGCCAGGTCATGGCGGCTGGAAGGAGACTCCAACAGGTAGTTATAAAGAAACAGAATGTGATAGAAAGCTACCCTGGTCGGGACAGAATGTGATAGATAGCTACCCTGATCGGAATAGAATGTGATAGAAAGCTACCCTGATCGGAACATAATGTGATAGAAAGCTACCCTGATCGGAACAGATTGTGATAGAAAGCTACACTGATCGGCACAGAATGTGATAGATCCACTGAAGCATGTTTGCTAACCATGACATCAATTTGAAGTACCCAAATAATTTTCAAAGCACAGATTAGATGTGGCACAAGACTGAAAGCATGTGACACCCAGTGAGGATTGAACTCACTGCCCAGTTGTAACGGTTCTAGCGAGACAATCTTGCTAACAATTACACCACGACGAGGTACACAAATGATTTTCTAAGCATAGCTTAGATGGAGTCCTGGGTAAGACGTTAAACTACGTCCAACAGAAAGGCCTCTGATCAGGATGTTTTGAGGAGCGTTGAACTATCTTTTAATTTCTGGTGTTCCGAGGTCCATCTTGAACCGCGGTAGTAGCACCTGTTAGGGTCCTAGCTATGGAGAAATAGTTAACGCTCAAAATGTGTTCAAAACACTATGGAAGTATAAACATAAGTTTTAATACCAGAAATAGTTTGTAAAAAATTTATTACCAGCAATATGTTTTTGAAAAAAGGAAATTTTACCAGCAATACATTTTTGGAACCTAAAAAACATTACCAGCTATACATTTTTGAATGAAATAAATATTACCAGCAATACATTTTTGAAAAAAAATAATACGAGCAATTTTTGAAAAAAAAAATACGAACAAAAAAAAATAAGCAATAAAAAATTTGTCGGCATTAAATAACCCATTGAGGTTGATATGCCGTAAAAACAAAAGAAACAAAAACAAAACCAAAAAACATATTCTATTCATACGAATCTATCCTAAAAAAATGTTGTCGGCATTAAATAACCCATTGAGGTTGATATGCCGTAAAAAAAAAAGAAACCAAACTAAACCAAAGAATACATATTCTATTCATACGAATCTATCCTAAAAATGTTGTCGGCATTAAATAACCCATTGAGGTTGATATGCCGTAAAACAAAAGAAACCAAACTAAACCAAAGAATACATATTCTATTCATACGAATCTATCCTAAAAAATGTTGTCGGCATTAAATAAACCCATTGAGGTTGATATGCCGTTAAAAAACAAAAAACCAAACTAAACCAAAGAATACATATTCTATTCATACGAATCTATCCTAAAAAATGTTGTCGGCATTAAATAACCCATTGAGGTTGATAAAACAAAAGAAACCAAATAAACCAAAAGAATAAAACGAATCTAAAAAATGTTGTCGGCAAAATAAACCAAGGTTGAATACATAAAACAAATTCAAATAAACCAAAGAATCTATTCTATTCATACGAATCTAAAAATGTTGTCGGCATTAAATAACCCATTGAGGTTGATATGCCGTAAAACAAAAGAAACCAAACTAAACCAAAGAATACATATTCTATTCATACGAATCTATCCTAAAAATGTTGTCGGCATTAAATAACCCATTGAGGTTGATATGCCGTAAAACAAAAGAAACCAAACTAAACCAAAGAATACATATTCTATTCATACGAATCTATCCTAAAAATGTTGTCGGCATTAAATAACCCATTGAGGTTGATATGCCGTAAAAAAAAAAATAAACTAAACCAAAGAATACATATTTAGCTGTGGCATTAAATAACCCAAGGGGACGTAAAACAAAAAAGCATGGGTCACCAAGTGAAGATTGAACTCACTACTAAGTTGTAACGGTTCTAGCGAGACAAGCTTGCTAACCATGACACCACGTCGAGGTGCCCACACGAATTGGGATATAATTCAGATATGAAATATCTCTAAGAGATAATTCATTAGCTTTATGTTTTAGAACTTATGCACTCTTGTTAGGGGAATCAGAGAGAAACAGATGCGTTTTTCTTGCCATATCAACCATCTACCATCAGATATCGCCATTTTATTTCAATAAGAAGATAATGATAGACAGGCAGAGAATTGAAACGTGGGTGGGTGGAGTGGGGTCTGAGAGCGAGAGAACGTGGTAAGTTGTGTGTTTTGTGGTGGTGGGGATTTTGAATTGGTGTTCGTGTTGCTTGGTTGAAACGCGTGGAATGGGATTTCCATGAGATTTAGCCAATAAATAAATAATAAAAAATAAACAACTAAAAATCATAACAACAGAAAAGCCGATGTGAAGAGAGAGAATAAAATAAAAAAATTAAAACGAGGAAATGTTTGAAAGAAAATAGTGGAGAATGAGGAAGATTGATGTGCGTGACGTGAGATCTCGTTTCTTGTTGCGTTAGTCGCGCGAGATTTTATTGACAGGTGGAAGAAAAAAAAAGAACAGCCTCCCTTTAAAAAGAAAAGGAACAAGCGTGGCAAAAAAGAAAAAGAAAAAAAAAAAGAAATAAGAAAAAGTAAAACGAAGACAGGAAGAAAAAGTAAAACGAAGACAGGAAGAAAAAGAATGAAAACGAGAAATGTAGTGAAAGATGCAATAATAATGGAACAAAAAGGAAAGAAAAAAAATAAAGGAAGAAACCAAACGGGGATGAAGAAATAAAAGAAAGAAAAAAAACTGTATAAAACTGAAGGAAATGGGGAAAAAGAAAACGAAAGGTAACAAATAAAAACAAGAAAGAAACGAACGAAAATTAAGAAGAAAACGAAAAGAGAAAATCAACTGAACGTAAACGGGAAAGAAATCAAAGGAAAATGTGAAAGAGAAAGAATGAAAGAATGAAAGAGAAAGAATGAAAGAATGAAAAAGAAAGAATGAAAGAGAAAGAATGAAAGAATGAAAGAGAAAGAATGAAAGAGAAAGAATGAAAGAGAAAGAATGAAAGTATGAAAGAGAAAGAATGAAAGAGAAAGAAAAAGAAAGAGAAAGAATGAAAGAGAAAGAATGAAAGAGAAAGAATGAAAGTATGAAAGAGAAAGAATAAAAATGAAAGAGAAAATAAAAATGAAAGAGAAAGAATAAAAATGAGAGAGAAAGAATGAAAATGTGAAAGAGAAAGAAAGAAAATGTGAAAGAAAAACAATGAAAATGAAAAACTAAAAAGAAAACGATTGAAATCGAATATAGGAAAGAAATAGAACGAAAATGTGAAAGAAAAAGAATGAAAATGGGGAAAAAGAATGAAAATGAGGAAGAAAAAGAATAAAATGAATAACACCAAAAATGACCTAGAAACACAGGAAAAATGAAGGAAAGTGAAGAAAAAAGAAAATGTATTAAAATGTAACAAAAAAGAAAGAAAAAGAAATCAAGTCAAAGAGAAAGAAAAATATAACATTTATGGTAAGATGACAAACCTATATATATATATATATATATATTTGAAGCATTGTGGATATGGGTATCAGTACTAAATAGCGATCGTCTATTCATGCTTAAACAAAATATTAGGTTATGACGATTGCTTTTAAGCATGAAACAGACTGTCTCAATGCAACGTTTCTGTATATCTACCCTGCTTATGTTTACATACTCTATGTTCATGATATTGAACACTTTTCTCCCACAAGTACAGCATACCTTACAAATCTATATTTTATCACATATAGGATATTACTCAATACATCCTGATAGATACCAACTACGACAAACATCTGAAGAAATTCAGAGAGCAAAATGATTAATAGACAACAAAATGACGATGATTCTTACCCGAGAAAATCAGCATATAATAATAATAATAATAATAATAATAATAAATGGTATGAACACCACCCAGACCCGGTTACGGAGATAGGACCTGTTACAATTCTATGGGACTACACAATACACACTGACAGAACAATCAAAGGCCAACCGCCCAGATATTGTTATTAAAAGACCACAAACAAAAAAGTGCCTCCCTTATTGATATGGCAGTCCCTGCTGACTGCAATGTATCTTTGAAGATATTCAAAAAGCTGTCAAAATACAAGGACCTTGAAATAGAAGTCTCAAAAATGTGGCATATGGGAACATCAACAATCCCTGTTGTAGTTGGATCCCTAGGACTGGTTGGAAAAGATTGCAGTAGACTAATTGAAGGGATTCCTGGAAGTCCATGCCTCAAAGAGATACAAAAAAATTGTTCTGACAAGTACAGCCCACACTTTATAAAGGGCTTTATCTATGCAATTCTTTTTTTTTTTTTTTTTTTGTCAGTGGAAAGTGTCACGATGCCATTTCTAACCTTAGGTCCCTGGGCGGGACCCGGAAAGAAATGTGTAAACGCCAGAAACCAAAGAAAATAATAATAATAATAATAGTAATAATAATAATTGCAAATTTCAACATCGACGTCTGAATAATATTGCGCTAGATAAAGGGAAACTATCAAAATACAAAGACCTTGAAATAGAAATCTCAAAAATGTGGCACATAGGAACATCAACAATCCCCGTTGTAGTTGGAGCCCTCGGATTGATTGGAAAAGATTCCAATAGACTCATTGAAAGGATTCCTGGTAGCCAATGCTTTAAAGAAATACAAAATATTGTTCTCATGCGTAGAGCACACACCTGACGAAGGGCTTTATCTATGGAAAATATGTGATTTTTTTTCAAAACTTCTCAGTGGAAAATGTCATGATGCCATTTCTGACCTTAGGTCTCTGGTCGGCACCCGGAAAGAAAGGGTTATACACCAGAAGTAATAATAATAATAATAATAATTCTATGGGACTACACTATACACACTGACAAAACAATCAAAGCCAACCGCCCAGACATTGTTATTAAAGATCACAAACAAAAAAAAGTTCCAACTTATTGATATGGCAGTACCTGTAAACTGCAATGTATCTTTGAAGATATTCAAAAAGCTGTCAAAATACAAGGACCTTAAAATCAACATCTCAAAAATGTGACACATGGGAACATCAACAATCCCTGTTGTAGTTGGAGCTCTCGGATTGATTGGAAAAGATTCCAATAGACTCATTGAAGGCATTTCTGGAAGCCAATGCTTTAAAGAAATATAACAAATTGCACTCACAAGTACAACCCACACCTTACGAATGCCTTTATCTATGTAAAATATGTGCGATTTTGTTTTCAAAACTGCTCAGTGGAAAATGTCATGATGCCATTTCTGACCTTAGGTCTCTGGTCGGGACCCGGAATAAAATGAGGATACACCAGAAATCAAGAAAAATAAAATAATAATAATAAGATCACTGTCCTGATATTATTGTGTGGATAAAGACATGAAGAACTGTCATATTATTCATGTTGCCATCCCAAACGACACAAAAGATGAGTGAAAAAATGAGAAACTATTCTAATGTGAAAGTTGAGATGACAATGAAGGAAAGCAATGTCTCGGTGATTCCAGTGGTGATTGGCGCACTTGGATCAATCCTATTAAATCTGTGTGAGATTCTTGACCAGCTGGGGATACCATACTATCTTGGCATCATAGAAAATTCGGCTCTTTTGGCCACTGTCCATATTTTGAAGAAAGTGTTGTCTGTCTCAGTTCCTTGTTGTGACTTAACAGATAACTTAATTTACCCAGTGTATTTAAAAACATACACTGCGGGAGAAAAAATAATAATACCCAAATTCCCCATGTATAATACGTCTTCATCCAAAATACGCGCCCATAAAATTGTGCTGAAAGTGTGGGAAAATGATTCTACTCATGCATAATACGCACCCGTTGTTTCATAATCAAACGCTATAAATTGTACCTCTCCAATTTCATTACGGCCAGCGTTTCCTACTCTTATTTAAAAAATGGTTTTAAACATAAAATGATTTTATTTTAATTTAGTTTTATGGTAATTCTTATTTTACGACAATTTTTTAAAGATATTTTGTAGCTGTGCATAATACGCCTCCCACCCCGCGATTTTGCTTTTATTTTAGAAAAAATAAGTATTATATATGGGAATTTACGGTACTTATCTATGTAAAATATGTGTGTGTGTGTTTTTTTTTCTGTGGGATTAACAAAATATTAATTTTAATAATAATATTTCTCCCAGTTATCTTTGGGTCAATGGGGTCTATTCCACCGAACCTAAAGTCTTAAATTAAGAAAATCAGAATATGGCACATGAAGACATTACTAATCCTCTTGTCGTTGGAGCCTTCGGATTTATTGTCAAAGGTTCCGATAGACACATCAAAGGATTCCTGGTAGCTCGTGATTTAAACAAATACAAAAATTGCACTCACATGTACAGCCCACACATTACGAAGAGCATTAGCTATGTAAGATGTGTTAGGTTGCTTTTATTTATTCATTTATTTTACAAAAATGATCAGGGGAAATGTCTTGACGCCATTTCCGACCTAAGGTCTCTGATTGGGACCCGGAAGGTAATGTGTATACAACAGAAATCAAAAGAAATAATAATAATAATAATATCATCATCATCATCCTCTGGGATATACCAATTCAAGCTGACAGGGAAATAAAAGCCAACATACCTGATAATATCATAAAAGATAAGGAAGTCAGGGAGTGGATGCTGATTGACACAGTAGTACCATCTGAGAGAAACACCTCCATAAAATTATCGAGAAATTGTCCAAATACAAGGACCTGTAGATCGAGATTAACAGGATGTGGGAATGAAGGCTGGGACTGTACCAATAGTAATCGAAGGTCTGGGTCCCGTGAGAAAAGGAATGGACAATTTTACTAACAGTGTCTCAGGTAACATCAGCTTACAAGTTGCTCAGAAGATCGCCCTCCTATGAACAATACCATATATTAAGAAAAGTGCTATCAGTTAAATAAGAATTCTCCTATAGTGCCTAAGGATCATAGTTTGGAGCCGGCTCTCCAAAATAGGAAGTAGGAAACATCACATACACAAATAATAATAATAATAATAATAATAATAATAATAGGATGTGGGGAATGAAGACTGAGATTGTACCAATAGTAATCGGAGCTCTGGGCCTCGTGAGAAGAGGAATGGACTATTTTACTAACAGCGTGCCAGGTAACATACAATTTGCCCAGAAGATCGCCCTACTAAGAACATCTCATATTCTAAGAAAAGTGCTATCAATTAAATGTCTATTCTTCTATAGGGCCTAAAGACCTTAGTTTAGACTCTGCTCTACAGGATACAAAGCAGGAAACACACAAATTATAATAATAAAAGCAACAATGATAATCTATTAAACGAACCCGGAAAGAGAAATTTTATTAATGGCACATTTAAGCACAGCAGTCATTTCAGTAGTTATATGAGCACTAGGAACAATTACAAAGTATACCGATACACGAATTAAGTAATTTACAGGAAATCCATCTTTATTTACATTATATGCTTGTGGACTAATGTCTTCATCTTTGTTGTTATTATCAGAACGTTTCGGCCGTTGAGCCTTCTAACCTTCATCAGGTCCTTCAGGTAATTTAGAACTGGGCGTTTTATCTAATCTACCTGAACAAATATTCCTCCTTCCGCTGTTCATATCGAGGACTATAACTTATTGAGTGTTGCTCTGTTATTACGTGTTGCCACTGAGTCTACGTTTGTATTACCCAGATGAGAAACTGAACTCACAAATGCTGTTTGCAAATTCGCGAAATATTAGGATACTGCTCCGTGGGACAAGCGCACAAATATTATGATGACAAAAAAAGTTGAAGATATTAGTCCATTGGTAAATAATGATACTGCTCATAGACTTGGGATGTTGCAGAAGGAGATAAAATAACCATTTGGAAAAGTATGGATTCATCTCCCAATTAATGGGTTAAATAATATAGCAAAATGGGCTTTTCGGTCTTAGGTAGCAACCAGTTTAAGAGCAGGAAAACTCCAAATTCCCAAACCAGTGTAGATGGAACTTGTGGTTGTACAGGGGAAGGAAAATACCAATAGAAAAAAAGCCAATTCTTCCTCCAGGTACAGACGTTAGTCATAGAGCCAATCACTCCAACCCGAAGAACAATTGGATTACAGAAAACTCACGATAGAGCCTTATGATAGATAGATAGAAAAACACAGAGAGAGAGAGAGAGAGATTGATAGATGATAGATAGATAGATAGATAGAAACACGCTTACATAGATTGATAGATAGATAGGAACACACATACATACATAGATAGATAGGAACACACTTACATACATACATAGATAGGGACATACATACATAGATAGGGACATACATACATACATACATAGATAGATAGATAGGGACACACTTACATACATACATACATACATAGATAGGGACACACTTACATACATACATAGATAGGAACACACTTACATACATACATACATAGATAGGAACACACTTACATAAATAGATACGGACAGACAAATAGATTGGAACACACTTAGGTAGACAGATAGGCCTAGTCAAATACGAGCGACATCCATTATTTGAACATCAGCCTCAATTTGTTGGTGCCCTGTTTGTTCACTCAATAATAATAATAATAATAATTTTGTTTTAAGGAAGTCACCCGAAGAAAGCTGTCAGTGCCACTAAAACGCAGGAGGCAACTGGGAGTGAAAGAGAATGAGAAGACATTAGTGTTTAGAAAAAACAATAAAAGAACAGGATTCAGGAAGACAGAAGATGGCGATAATGCCACTAAGACGCAAGGTGAAAATGGGAGTGAAAGAGAAGGAAAATAATTTAGAAGGAACCGGAAACCTTATCCTGAAAACTGAACAAAGGGAAAAAGATGTACTACTGTTCCAAAGCCCGGGGCTGAGTGTGGGCCGGACAACAGACGAACTTATCTTCGCTTATCGATATTAATAATACTTTCGGAATGAAAGATTTCGAATTGGTAAAATGCACACTATTTGTAAAAATTATATTACATATAAACACTGGTTTTGTAAGACAATTAACAACGACGGAATTATCCGCCATTTGCATTTAAAGCAAAGGCATCACATTGAGATAATCTGCTATCAAACGGAGTTAATAGTATTACAACAACATTAATATTGATATTTCAATCTAGAACAATTACGACTGAGTGCTCCCTACATTCGGCCTTGTGCCACATCTAAGCTACACTTAGAAAATCACTTTGGGGACCTGGAGGCGGTGTAATGGTTAGCAAGCTTGGCTCGCTAGAACAATTGCGACTTAGTAATGAGTTCGATCCTCACCAGGTGCCTCCGACTTTCGGCCGTGTGCCACATCTAAACTACGCTTGGAAAATCACTATATTTCCAACCAAGCTTCTGTTTGCCCAATGGGTGGGGATAGATGACTATGACCAAGCACAAATACAGACAGCTTCCAAAAACTTTCGTCAGTCAAATATCCCTCAAATGGCTTGGGTCTATCTGTCGCATTGGCTTATCTGATACCCAGTTCTGCTTCTCGCTCGGATCGCTTCCTTACCTCAGTCAATAGCTTTCTTGACTATGGTGTGATATGAACCCGGAGTCTCATAGTTGAAAAAGTAACTTTCTAACAACCTAGTCAAGATAATTTTTATAAACATTTTTATTAATAAATCTTTTTAAAAAAAAAAAATTGTAAATCCATTACCTAGCCTGTCGATCTCTGGCTACAAGAATGAAACTTAAGTTGTCTATTTTACAAGTTCATGTTTAAGGAACATAAGCACATTTACGGAACTTTTTTTTTTATATTAGTTCAGGTATCACGATAGCGAATCACGTACATAAAATACCCTCAATTATAACAGTGAACTTAAACTAGAAGACATAAGTTAATTGCTATAAACAGGTTAATTTATGTAAAAATAGAGTTATCCCCCTTGATATATTTTTTACAATTGAAACCAAATTTAAATAATTTTATAGATTTTTTATTTTTTTTAATTCTACGCCTTTGAAACTGAAGAATTTGAACGATATAAATTATTAATAGTTAATTCTATTATTTTACGTAAGAATAATTAAATAAACAAATTTTTACACACAATTTGAATCCTCACCACGAAAACGGAAACAACATAATGGTTAGAGCATATTTGCACCTGAAGATTGCAAGATCGCATGAAACTCCGAGTCGAGCCATTGACGTTGGATATTATGTATATTCACTAATATATACTTAAAAGCTCTGTTTTATAACATTGAGCACTATATTTATAACACCCGAGGAAGAAATATATTTATATGTACATGCAAGTAGTTTTTTTTTATCCTACTCATTAGCATTGCCTAACTATAAGTATATATATATATATATATATATATATATATATATATATATATATGGTACCCTGAAGATCTGTTTAGGTGAAACCTAGGTAGGTCTGTCTGTCTGGTTCCTTGGGATTGTTTTTAGTTTTTTGAAACATACACACACACACACATATATATATATATATATATATATATATATGTGTGTGTGTGTGTGTGTGTAGCATTGCCTAAATACAAGTGTTTTAAATATATAAAGAAATATATATAAATTAAGGTATGCTATATTTATGAGCTAAAGTGCTCAATATCAGAGATAGAACGTGTGTAAATATAAAAGTGAACATTAAAGTCAACTCTCAGAAGCGACAGGCTGTTTCATGCTAGACGCAATCGTCAGACCTGAAGATTGCGTTTAGCGTGAAACAGTAAGAAATGAAAAAAAGAGAAAGTGGGAAGAGAAAGAAGTAAAGAAAAAGCGAAAAAGAAAGCGAAAAAGGAAGAGGAAGAGGAAAAGAAAGAGGAAAAGAAAGAGAAAGAGGAAAAGAAAAAGAAAGAAAGAGGAAAAGAAAAAGAAAGAGTAAAAGAAGAGAAAGAGAAAAAGAAGAGAATAACACGCACGTTTAGAAAAAAATAAAGAGAAAAATGGTAAAAGTAAAGAAATACGAGAGAAAAGCAAAATGGAATCGAGAAAAGGAGAAAAAAATGGCGAAGGAAGGAAAGAGAAAATGAAATAAAACAAAACAAACCAAGACTGAAAATCGATAAATGTTTTGTAGCAAAAACGAAGATTATTTTGATAGAAGTGCATGCAAAGCCTCTTTGTAAAATATACCAAAAAAAAAAAAAAGAAAATGAAAAAAAAAGAAAAAGAAAAAAAGGAGTGTGTGTGTATGGGGAGGAGAGCAAATAAAATCGACAATGAAAAGGGAAGACATGATGAATAAAAACAAATTAAAAAAAGACCCCCCCCAACAAAAAATATCACTACGCTAGAAAAGTGATCTTCAAGATTCAGTAATATCATTATGATTCGTTCTGCACCTCTATGTTGAAGCATTGTGCTTCAACTATGGCTATTTATTCTGGGGTTTGATTGTTCGCTTCTATCTTTTCAACTTCCTAACACCGTAAAATACCTCCAGCCGCGCAGCGCCGCCATACTCTGCCTCCTTCCCCAATCACAGTCACAGAGCCCGTGTTGGAGTTTTCCCGCCAATATGGCTGGGGACTCGGACTTCTGGAATTGATGGTATTAATGACTGCCGAGTTAGGGTTTGGGGAGGGGGGGATAGAGAGAATGTCTCGATATTTTATTTTGTTTAGATTTTTCTTCTTTGATATTTATTGGAAAATGTACAATGGCGAGCAACATTCACGTACCGCTTACCGCCCCAATCAACCCGCATCTTTTTCTCCAATGTCTAAAATGCAATTAGATTCGAATGAAATGAATATATAATTTGCTAATTAGATCTAGAAGGACTAATTACTTGGCAGGTAATCAAGTCAGTCTCTTGATTGAATGAAGTCACAAAAGGTAGAAAAATTATATATATATATATATATATATATATATAAATTGAAAATTCAAAATTTTGCATATTTAATCGAAAATTCAATGGTCAAGGAGTTGTTTCCTCACAAACAAAGAATGTAATAAGAAAATGTATTAAAAAATAGAAAAAGAAATTAAAAAAGTAAAACGAAGGAAAAATAGGGAAGTTAGATAAGAAAAAGAAAACGTGAATGAATGAATATTTGAATGAATGAATGAGATTTTTTTTTTTTGATTTTTTACAGTCTATTTGTCAGAATGAACCTTTTACTTTTGTGTTTATCATTCGTTTTTCTTTCATCGACTCTTTTATTTAATGTAATTGCGTCTTCCTTTCAATCTTCGCTTGTTGTCTTCTCTTTTTGTCTTTTTATTTATTCTTTTCTTTTTTGTTTTCTTCATTTCTTTATTCATTGTCGTTTTCTCATTCTTTTTGCTTCTCTGTCCTCCGCCTTTTTCTTTTTGTTTTTTTCTTTTCTTTAGTTCGAATTTGTACTCATTTCTTCCACCTTTTCCACTTTTTTTTCATTCTTCATACTTTTTCCCTTTTCTTACACTTTTTCACCTTTGCTCGTTCCTTCAACTATTTGTTTCGTCATTCCTTACATATGTTTCCCTTTTGTTGTTCCTCACACTTCTCCTTTCGATGTGCCTCACACTTCTCCTTTTCTCCTTTCGTCGTTCCTCACGCTTCTCCTTTCGTTGTTCCTCACACTTCTCCTTTCGTTGTTCCTCACACTTCTCCTTTTCTCCTTTCGTCGTTCCTCACACTTCTCCTTTTCGTGCCTTTCTTTTTCTCCTTTCCGTGCCACATTTTTTCTCCTTTCGCCGTGCCTCACACTTTTTCTCCTTTCGCCGTGCCTCACACTTTTTCTCCTTTCGCCGTGCCTCACACTTTTTCTCCTTTCGCCGTGCCTCACACTTTTTCTCCTTTCGCCGTGCCTCACACTTTTTCTCCTTTCGCCGTGCCTCACACTTTTTCTCCTTTTCTCCTTTCGTCGTTCCTTCCATATTTTTCTCTTTCCTTCATCTTATTTTCACCCTTCTTTTCTTTGGTTTTCTTATGTCTGAAGTGTGGCTTATATTTTTCGCAATCTTTTCTTCACATTTCTTGTTTTTCTTTTCGTCTTTTTTTTTTTTTTTTTTCGCTAGCCTTTGTTTCCTACCGGTACATTTGCTTTCCTTTTTCTTTTCATCGCATCTCTTACTTTCTTTCCTTCTTCTATTTATTCATCTTTCTTTTCTTTCCTCCTCATCTTTTTACTTAATTTTCTGGCATCTTGCATCTTTTTACTTTCTTAATTTTCTGGCATCTGGCATATTTTCTTTCATTCTTTTTCTTTTTTTTTTTTTTCCTTCCCGCTAATTTCAGATATTTACTCGCTTTCGCTGAAAGAATTTCACCTGCCATATGTTCCGATTCAAACCGGAAACACACTGTTGTCACGTGACGTAAATCGTTACAGTATCCTTTTTTTGTTGTTGTTCATTATTTAAAAACATTTTTTGTGAGTAGAAAATTTTCAAAGCTTGCCTAGGATAAACAATCTTTTTTTTTTTCGAAAAAACTGAGAAATGTTTACACATAAGCACAAAAGGAGGAGCTGAAATATTCGAAACCTTGACAATATGCCTGAGTACATTTCAGCATACCATTGTGTGTATGTGTATAAGTGTATGAGCACGTGGCCGAGTGGTTAGACCATTCGCATTCTGAACATTGACTATGAGACCCGGGTTCGAATCTCACCATGGTCGATTTGTCAGAGAGGAGACTTCCTTTCGGCACCTTTTGAAACCATGCGAGTAACCATGGGTAGACGAAACCCTTGCCCAAAGTCATCAGTCATCATGAACGAGGGCTTGAGCGGTCTGGCCTTGTTCACATTGTTAATCACGTTAGATAAAACGGCCATTCCCAGAAACTCTGACCAAGGTCTGCTCAGTCTACTTACAGTATAAATCACAGAGCAGTCTAGATTATATATATATATATATATATATATATATTGAGCAGATATGAATGAGAGAGAATCATGGAGAATTGTGTTTAAAAACAGTTAAATCGACCTTGCTAACCGAACGCTCCTCTGTGGCCCAATCGGTTAAGGCACGTCAGGCTATATGACGGTTCCGTATAGGATACAGGTTCGATTCCTGTCGGAGGACGCACATATTCTGTGAGAATTTCTCGGACATTCAGGCCGGTAAATGTTGTTAATACTGTTTATTATAAACAGAGCATTTACTTAAATACTCGTATCTATAAAAAGAACGAATGAACATAAAAATGTCATATATATATATATATATATATATATATAGCGATCGCGAATCCCGTGGTCCATCATGGTTGTACAGCCGAAGTAGAAGTGGTGTTTGTTGAGCAAGATAGCCTGAAGGATCCCAACCCTCTCCAGGCCGGTTTTTGAATTCAGTTTTCCTTCTCCTAGACAGGTTGCCACCCAAGGCTATAAAACCCAGTCTGTTCTGCCATTTACCCATAGCTGGGGGAGAAGAGGAGGATTCATACCTTTTCCAAGGGTATTAGCGCATAAGTGAATGTAATGGAACACACTGGAATTTGAACTCGGCTCTCCTAGCCACTATCCATTACTTCCCCCTGTCTCCTAATCCCGAACAAAGGCAAAACGGGACACACGAAAACCAGTTGGATGTGTAATTCTTATATCTTATATCCTGTACAGTGATCTCTCGCTAATTCGCGGTTCTACTATCGCAGATTCACGCGGATTTTTAAAATATACATATATGGAAAATATATCGCGGAGTTTCTGGAAAATTCTAGAAAAATCGCGATATATGAACACCTAAAATTTTTCATTAAATCCATTAAAATATTAATAATAAATATTATTTCCTGGTTTAGGAACAACAAAACAAGCGTAAAATAGCAATAGAAAGGGCACTGCCGTCTGAAGAGACGTAAAACACAATTATCAGCTGCACAGTAGAAGTCATCATTTCTACAGCGTAGCAAATTTATCACCATCATCATTCAAATTCTACAACTTCTTTCGTGTTGAATACAGTAACAATCTTTTCTTTTTTTTTTTTAATCTAAAGTGTTATTGCTTAACAGTTGTCCTTGTTATTAATAGAGTACTGTAATGGGTGGGATGTTAATAGTACAGGGAGGGTTTTAAAATACACGTTAAATAAATACTGTAAAAATATGGCGTCCCTGCTTCGCGGAAATTCAGTTATAGTGGCCGGTCTTGGAACCAATGTACCGCGATAAACGAGGGATCCCTGTATGCAATGTTTCGATGATCCCGAAAACTGTAAAATTAAGAAAAATCGTCACCATGGAAACCCGATATTAGGAGGCACGTAGGAATAATGGATAGCGGCTCGGATTGGGGGAACGTAGTCGGATCCATTAATACCCAGGGGAATCCTCCACTTCGCCCCTAGCTATAGATAAATAGCAGGACAGATGAGTTTTATAGCCTTGTGGTGACAAGGAAAACTCTAAATTCAAAAACTGGCCTGAGAAAACACCACTTTACTGCGGTTGCCCTATTATATATATATATATATATATATATATATATATATATATATATATATATATATATATATATACAGTGCTGTTCGATAAAAGTGACTCACCTGATTTTTTGGACTAAATGTTCTCTTCTCCGATGAAACGAAAGCTGAGCTAAATTCAAAGTATATAAGTGATCTAAAATCCGAAGAAGAAGCTTTGAAAGCACTTTGAATTTAGCAGTAAGTACTGTCAAGCATCCGTTCAGTATAATGTTCTGGGGATGCTTTTCTTTTCATGGAACTGGTTTCTTAAAACCTATTGAAAAGACCCTCAGGAGCGAACAGTACAAGAGAATTTTAGAGTCTTGTCTGCCCGCTTCTGCTGAAAGGGTGCAAATCGACCCCACCAAGCTCATTTTTATGCAGGATAATGCTCCCTGTCACAAATCAAATTTGATGAAGGAATACTTTGATGAGAAGCAGGTGAGTGTTGTGACATGGCCGCCCCAATCTCCTGACCTCAACCCCATAGAAAACTTATGGAGCATGTTGCTCAACTGCTTTCTCGAGAGCCTGTACTTTATAATGCTCCATTTTTCGCTATCTACGCGGGTTAAATGGGTAGACTGAATTATCAAGGGAAATGACTGTTAAACAATCAACTTATTGTTGGCTACCATTGAGTGGATTTTGTATGAGATTGCTTGAAAATCTGAGTAAGTTTTTAGTTTAAAATTTGTGTTGAAATAGATTTTTCGCGGTTTTTCGTAAAACGCAGTGGCGTAGAAATAAAAATGAGTTATTGTTGGTCACGTCATGATGTTAACTCTTCTTCATCTGTGAGAAGATTGTCCAGCATTCACTGCCTTATGGGAAGACTGATATTACGTAACAGTTCAGTATTCATTTCCTTGTTTCTGTTCCTTCAAGACTCTTCTTCATCTGTGAGAAGATTGTCCAGCATTCACTGCCATATAGGAGGACTGATATTACGTAACAGTTCAGTACTCATTTCTTTGTTTCTTAATATTTTGCTCAGCTTTTGTAAGGCATTTTTTGCTGGCCCAATGTGCCTTTCGATTTCTGTGTCGCATTTTCCATTCTATGTTCAATGAAATTACAACCAATCAGTGATTCAGAGAATGAAAAATAAAATGAGTTTTCAAATTGGATGTACACTTTATATTTTATGGGCGAGCACAGATAATAGAAAAAGCTTAATATGGAGAATTCGTAAATACAGATAAGATTATATTGTTCGGCGAAACCTTTTCTTGGGAGTCAGTTCCACAAAATAGCAGTTCGTGAAACTTCCTCCTTACTAATGGAATACGAAGGGAATCTGTACGCGGCGTGGCGAGTCTTAGCTGTGAGGGTTGAAGGTGGTGTAGCTCGTCTGAACATTTTCCATGCAAATAGCGATTGATTACCGAGAGGCTTGCAATCTGTAGGAAATTATTACCCACAACGTCGCACAGAACCTTATCGAAATTGGACAGTGGAGACAGGTCAGCTCCAGCCCAGATGTGACAGCAGAACTCCATTATTGGCTTTAACTGGCTCTTGTAAAGATAGAGCATAGTAGGAGGAGTCCGGTAACATTTGGAGTAGTACAAGGAACCGATCGTTTCCCCAGTATACTTTGCAATGGATCGTAGATTCGAGTTCCATTTGTGGTGGACTTGACACCCAATATCTATTCAAAACAAGGTAATTCACTGCTATATAGGAAGGCTTTTCTTGGTTTCTAAGGAAATTTTCTTGTTTCTTAATACTTTGTATGTATATATATATATATATATAGATAGATAGATAGATAGATAGATAGATAGATAGATGACCATTTGTATTCGAGGATACCCGTCTACTAGAGCGGCTAGCCATTCTCCATTGCAGACGCTCTCTCAGGCACATTTGTGTTTATTCAAGAGTCACCGAGCCTACCTCTGGTTTATACTGCAACTATGTTGAGCAGCTCTTATTTACAGTTTCTGGGACAGAGCGTATTATCTAGCGTCATCATCAATCTGAACAAGGCCAGCATACTCAAACCCTCGATCACGATGACTTGTGACTTCGTGCTAGCACAGCTATCGACGGACCCCAAGTGTTCCAATTTCACTTACAAACCTTGGTTCAACATGTGGTATGGTTTACAGTCACTTTTCAAAGGTGACACACGCTGGGATCGCGCTCTCTCCAGACCAATAACATCAGGAACTCGTTTAGTTCGAATCTCACCATAGTTCATTATATATATATATATATATATATAGGGCTGTAACAGCAAAATTGTCCAATTGTTAGATTAAGCTTTAAATCATTGCATCATACAAATGATTAAAGATATCTTACTGGAATTCTCCGAAGTTTTTATAACAGGTTTGGTCTCTACTTTGAACAGTAAGAATGTATTTAGCTCTAACTTGAAATGATGATCCCCCTTGCTGATGTGACATCCTGATCTAGTTTTCTCTCTACTCTTCTCTCCTTTTTAAACTTATTAATATTTCTCTTGAGGTTTCACTAGACTTTGAAGATGGAAGCCAGAGCATGAATGTTTGTATCATTACTGAAGGCCTGAATGATTTTTTCCTCTCACCATTGCTCAGTTATGAAGACAATGCGTCTGACACAAAACGTTTTTAACCTGATCTCTTTGTAGATGAATAACTCAAAGGGTTTTTCAGTGATTCCTACAACAAATGGTGCCAAGATGGATAAACGTCTTATCTAAAAACCTGGAAAAAAGCAACTCATTTAGTTTAGTGTTTTTTTTTTGTTTTTTTTAAGATATTAAACATTTTGTGGGATGGACAATTATACCAAGATGTTAAAGGATTTGGACAATTTTGCTGTTACACCCGGTATATACGCAAACACGTACGTTCGGGAAATTTGAACAGAATGCCCAGTTTAACCTGACAAGATTCCCGTGTCTCGCCGAAAAGTCTTCAAAAATCACGCCTTAAAAAAGAAACAAAAACAAAACAAAAAAAAAACAGGCCACAATCTATCAATGTTTTCTCCATGTCGAGGCAGTTTTACGCTTTTTTTTTTTTTTTTTTTTAGGTAGCATCTCGTGTAAAACAGAATACAACGTAAGACTCCATTCGCTGCTGGAAAGCGTTTACGGATCTCGTCTGCTTCCATACGTGTACATAAGCGTCAGGTATGCATCAATCTTGTTACAACGATACGGTTGGCTCAATTGTACATTTGCGCGCGTGATTTTTTTTTTTTTTTGAGCTCGAAATCTGCGGCGCTTACGTACCGAATCGCGAACGCGTATATTTGACGTGCCTTCTTGCATATTCGCTGTGTCGGTGTCTTGAAGCCTCAGCGCCAGAAAGTAGCTATTCCTAATGACGTGTTGTCTAATTGTGCGTAAAGCATTCTTTGGTGGAGCGCGTACAGGTAGTGTATATGAACAAATATGCAGCCTGCATACGCATGTATATGTCACACACACACACATCTATATAAGTGTTGGCCTAGGGTTTGGAATGGGTGGGTAAGGTGCATCATAGTAGGGTTTTAAAGCAATTGATAGCTTTCAAATGAGCTGGTAAAAAGTGTGGTGTAGGTAAGATAAGGAAACAAAAAACGAATGAAAAAAACGTCTATTTGAATTGGCAGAAGTGTTTTCTCGATTGAAATGCCGTTTGTGCACCTAATTCTTTTAGATGCTTCGGTGGTAGAGGTGAAGTTAAAGAGCGGTAGCTAGTTGCGAACAGACACGGATTGCTAAATAGACAAAGAGAGAGATGTGAGTAAGCTGGCATGGATGGACAGACAGGAAAAGTGCGGGCTGGATGAAGAGGATGCAAACTGGCCGGGCTGGATGAAGAGGATGCAAACTGGCCGGGCTGAACGAGACAGACGCGAACTGGCCGGGCTGAACGGGACAGACGCGAACTGGCCGGGCTGAACGGGACAGACGCGAACTGGCCGGGCTGAACGGGACAGACGCGAACTGGCCGCGCTTGATGCGACGGATGCGAACTAGCCGGGTTGGATGCGAACTGACTGGGCTGAATTTGATGGATGCGAACAGGCCGAGTTTTAATTCGACGGATGCGAATTGGCCGAGTTTTAATTCGACGGATGCGAACTGGCCGAGTTTTAATTCGACGGTTGCGAACTGGCCGAGTTTTAATTCGATGGATGCGAACTGGCCGAGTTTTAATTCGACGGATACAAATTGGCCGGGTCGGGTGCGATGGATACGAACTGGCCGTGCGAGATGAGACGGATATAAACTGCTCGGAGGGAATAGACAGATGCCGCACTGGCCATAGCCGGAACCGAATTAGCCGGGGATTGGGTAGAGTAAGGTGAACAAGCCGGAGTTTGTAGCAGGGTATGAACGGACTTGGAGGGACAAATTCAAACAGGACGGCGTTACTTGACAGACAAGAAGGGGGATTCAAATCGGTGGGACGACGATGACGGACGTTATATAAAGAACAAACAATGCAATCACCCAAATGTTGGAGATCGGGAAAATAATACGCTAAATATTTACCAGTTTCACAAGAGTGGTAACCGGAGAATTCTTCGGTCGAAATCGTGATGGGATGTGAAAAAAAACCCCCAAAAAACAAAAAAAAAACAAAACTAAAAGAAGAGAAATTCCATCCTAAAAAGTATTCCTTAAGGTGTTTATTTGAGAAAATAGAAAAACGAAAGTTATTCGAACCTAGAGACCAGCATCTTACTGATACAGCCATACCAGCACAAATGTCATGAAGGTATCAGAATGTCTGTATACATAAAAAAATTCAAGTATACGCTGAATCGAATAGTAATTAGTGTAGAATAAATTACAATAAAATCACGCCCCTTTTCCCTCTAACTTCACCGTTCTTGAATATTACACGGATGAAACCAAACTCTGGCATTATTGCGAGGATTTACTGGTAAAATGGTTCCTGGAAAGACATAATATAGTTCCGTCTGTTGCAGCAAGTATATTGATTCATACAAGATTTGATGGGAATCATTTCTTGAGACATCATCACGAGCAATATAGATAATTTATATAGAAATACATTAGAAGCCCTCATATCCGAAATCCCGCATATCCGGACATGATTTTGATGTGTATATTTGAACTATTTGGGTGATATGTAACTGATCTGAAATTTCTGTTTTTCAGGTGATTTATTTGGATAATTGCTTAAGTATATTTCACCCTAATGGCGTGTATTGGTGTAAAATATGATGGGAATAAGAGAAAAGGATGAAAACGAGACACATTTGCAACAAGATAGCAACGAGATGCAGGATTGTGGTGAAATCTGGACTAAAATTGAAAAAGATATTGAAAATGTTGTTAGTTTTATGGAAAGAAAGCCAGCATTCACCTATGACGAGTGCATTAACGCACGCAGAGTTAAAAAGTGTCTTTCGTTTAAAAATTTCAAGAACAAATGCAAAACGAAAAGCGGAAAAAGTTGAGAATGACATTAGAAGAGAAAGAATCATCATGCAACAGCGATTAAAAAAATCCTCGTTACATTATTTGTTTTGCATACGTGGCATATTTGATTTAATGAATTTTCATTAACATTAAATAATGTATTTCTTTTCCCTTAAAATCAATTCCGTTATATTTCACTCACCATTAGCTTATTTTGTTCACTATAAAACATTGAAAATAAATGTTAAACCTGAGTACAGTTCTTTTATTTTAATCTAAATATAACCTCTCATACCCGGACATTGTAACCAATTCCTCATATCCGGAAGGCCTTCTTAGTCCGGTTGTCAGGGATTCTACGGTATATTTAACACTTTAATTTCTCTCCCCACCACACTTCATTTCATGTGTGTATGTGGGCTTATGTGAATATGCTGAAGGATTTTCCGCCACTTCTCCAGGTTTTTCCACATTTTAATATATTGGATACTTTTTGCACTCCCTTACTTCCGGCAAACCAAAAAAAAAAATCAATGCTGGAAACACTAAATCAAGATTAATTAAATTTTCCTTATCAGTCATATTCAACGAAACATGTTTAAAACAAGGGTTGATTCCCAAATATACATTAATATATTTCTAAAGAAAGAGATGGATTTTTATTGATTAATTCGACAGATTTCATTACTTAAAGTTTATTTTAGTGGGTACCCGTTCTTGAATAGACGTTCCACTTATTTATTAAAATGTATGTTTATTTATCTGTCTAAATCTCTGAGATGAAGTATTATGATTATTTATATTATTCGGACTGTTATCCTCATCTTCATTGCCATATTCACAACGTTGCGTTTAAAAATAGCTTCAAAAGTTGAGTCGTATAATACGCGTTGCATACACACACACATATATATATATATATATATATATATATGTATATATTTATATATATATATATATATATAATACGCCACATATATCTTCAAGAATGCTTTGTTCATTTTTAGAAATTCATTTTAAACTTTAAAAATTATAATTACAAAAAAAATTGAGGGAAATTTTTTGGTAATAATACATTAGTCATCAAAAGAGATTTTTTAAATCACATTACATACTTCATTCATATTATTTATGATAGCGATTAAAATTAAATAATTAGATAGTTTTAATGCAGAATTTATATTACGATTCTGAGCATATCTTATGGAATTTGGTAATAGCTTGAGAAAAAAATAAATTAATAAAAAATATCTGATGATATGTTGCTCTTAGTAGGACGATAAATAAGCAAACACTGAAATTACAGATTGAATCTACGAACTACACTAAACTTAAATACTGTGCTTTGGGAATTTTTGCAGTAAACATAATTTTGGTTGTAAATATTTTCTAGGATAATATACATATATCTTTCTTTCGGTGTTTATAAATTGTACACTGTTTAATTATTAACGTTAGCAACGAACTATTTTAAATTACAAAATCGTATTTGGTATAAAAGAAAATTACTTACAATATAATATATATTACTTAAAATGCATTCCTTCCTGCCGTCAATTTTCAAGGCACGGGTACACTACTTATATATATTATATATATATATATATATATATATATATATATATATATATATATATTCACCTCATTTAACCCACTACTACTCCATATATCGAACATTATTAAGTGAGGACCAAGCTAACAATGTTGTCAAGCTACAAACTTATTGAATCACACTTTTGTGGGCCCCTCTCACTTATATATATGTGTATGTGTATATATATATATATATATATATATATATATGTGTGTGTGTGTGTGTATATATATATGTGTGTGTGTGTGTGTATACATAAATATTTCTAAAGAATTAATGGATTAATTTTTAATCAGATATCTTCAAATGTTTTGTAGAGTGTATTTCGGATTTGAGCTATGAAAGTGGGCGCAGGTTCGATCCTTGTCGAAGGACGTATTTCTCGAATGCACTAGCCAGTAGAGGTGATACACACTATTTAATAAATAAAAAAGTGACGTCTATTTCTAATACGAAGTTTCCACTATGATAACGTTTGTTATATATATATATATATATATACGTGTGTGTGTTCAAATATTTTTCTCTTCTGAAGGATTTTAAGTTCTTTTTTTTTTCACTTTGTTTCTCCATCATGACAAACAGATCTCAAATCATTTTCTTCATTTATCTCTTTTTTGTCTCTCTCTCTCTCTATTCAGACTTCTTCTTTTTTCCATTTATAGCCGTTCTCCCTCTCTATCACTCACTCTATCGCTCCCGATTCACGTACATTTCATTATCCATTCCTGTCTCTGCCCCGCCTGCCTCTTTGCATCTATCTCCAATCCACTATCTCTGTGACTTACTGCTTTTTAACCGGATCTGCCATACCCACTTACTAATCCTCTTCGAAATGCGCATGCGTCAAGCGTCCATTTCAATAGATTTACTCATCAAATACTCTCTGGATAAATGTACTTGCGTTTTGGATCATATATGCGCGCCTATGTACATCAATCAGCTGTATCTGTGTACAGGCTAACTTAGATATTTACGTCTCTTATTTCGATTTCTCATTCTATTACTTAATTGTTTCTCGGCATCAGCCTATTTCAAAGGCAAAAGGAAAGCTTCATGTATTAGTAATAGAATAAAATAAGTCACATATCTTATATGCACTAAGAGTTTCATGCAATTTTTTTTTTACGTGTCACCATCGGGAGTTATCTCGGTAAAGTAATTTTATTTACAGATCGTATTTTTGTTCTCTCTCTCTCTAAAAAAAGTAAAAACAATTATTTTTATGAGGACGTAAGCTTTTTAAACAACACAGTTAATAACGTGTAAGATGTTTTTAATTTATTTTATTTACTTATGTTCAGGCAATACAAGGCCCAAGAGCCACTCAATATTGAGGATTACTATGTGAACTTATATTAGCGTAACTAAGGACAAGTGCTAATACATGGATGCCCACAAAAAAAAACAAAACAAAAAAACAAAACAACCCCCCCCCCAAAAAAAAACACACACACAGGAAATTTGGTACAGATTATTTAATTTTTGGAATTTTTGTGGCAGTTATTTGAAACAAAAGCAAAGGATAGAAATTTACTAGCTTAAATTTATGTTTTTGTTCTGTTTTAAGTGACTGAATTTCTATACTATGCTTTTGTTTCAAACAACTGTAACAAATTCACACAATTAAATAAACTGTACTAAATTCCCTGTTTTATTTTATTTTTTTCTTTGTTTTTGTGGGCATCCTGTATTAGCACTTGTCCTTACATTTTTTTGTGGGGTATCCTGCATCATATGAAGTAGATTTCAGAAGCAACCGGAAACCCAATGTTCTGTGAGGGTTAAGTTTTCTATGCCCTCCTTCCTCATTATGTGTTCGAAGCCGCTCACCCCTTTCTTTCTAGTTCAATCTATATGTTATTTTTGTTAATCACAGACAAACCACTCATGAACGGACTTCGGATGCAACGGACAAGATCTGCTGGCAAACTAAAACAAATCTGCAGGAAAAAAAACAAAAAAACTTCCAAATCGTTAGCGACTTATTTCGAAATCTGCGGAATTAGCAGAACAAGTCGTATTCGATTTCAAAGTGACCGCTTGATGCGAATAATTTCGTCGTTGGATGTATTTTCTGTAGAATTTGTTCTCAAACGAGTGACCCTGATTTACCCCGAAAAGCATCATTCCTGTCCTTCAAAGGATATTATGCCAAACTAAATGCAATGCCAATCGTCAACTTTTCTCCAATCGCTGTTCTTTTATTGTTCTCTTTCTTTAATGTTCTGTATTCTTTCCCACTCAGTACCCCCCCCTTGCGTATTAGTGGCTTTATTGCCTTGCTTGGAGAGAAACGATTAAAATTTAAATGTAATGTCAATCGTCATCATCCGTTTCCTTAATTCTTGTTCTTTTATTGTTCACTTTTTCTTAATGTTCTTATATTTCTTCACACTCAGTACCCCCCCACCTTGTCGTTTTATTTCCTCGCTTTGAAGGAAACAATTGAAATTTAAATGCAATGTTAATCATCCTCATTTCTTTAATTCCTGTTATTTTACTGACTTCTCTCCTTAATAATGATTTTTTTCTCATATTCTTTCAAACTCAGTAACCCCTTATGTCTTAGTGGCTTTATTGCCTTGCTTGGAGAGAAAAGATTAAAATCTAAACGCAATGACAATCGTTATCACCCGTTTCCTTAATTCCTGTTCTTTTATTGTTCTCTCCTCCTTAATAATATATTTTCTCAGATTTTTTTCACTGAGTGACTCGTTACGTCTTAGCGGCTTTATCTCCATTCTCGGGAAGAAATGTTTAATAAAAACTATAAATATCTACACACATCATTATCATAATCAGCCTCGGGTGGGGACATAGGACCATTGCGCATCTGAGAGCCTGAACGGTTCCCTCGACACAGCTGGGTTGAAAGCCGGAGAGGCAGTCATTTTATGTATTGGGGAGGCAGACAGGGTGTAGACCATCCACGACTAGCTCAAACCACAGCCAAAACCAATTTGAAGATCTCGACTTGTACTCACCATTCTGCTGCCCACTTCAGTCTACAAAACCAGCGATTCTGTCATCACCGTCGTGGCTCTATCCATAGCTATGGAGCCCCGTCTAGCCCAGTGTGCTGGATAGCTGTTGATCCAACAAGTAGCATCGATCACACTTGGACGGGTCTTAATCCTGTTAAAAATTTTCCAGAATAGAAGTCTTCTTTGAGAACTTGTTTAGTCACAAATGGTCCTACCCCGCGGCAGTTACAACTCGGTTACATTGTACCAAGAGCGGAATTATTTGACAGAAGCACACAGCACACCTAATTGTCTGACGAGGTCGAAAATAAGAGTTAATGTATTGCGTTTAAAGTAAATATAATGTAGGTTCTTAGATTTCTTTTGTACGCTCGTTGTATTACCTGTACTCATAGACAGACAAAAAACTAAGCGAATACATGGATCCCGATCAAAATGTTCCATGTTTAAAACGATATGAATGCGAAACTGTCGTATAAAAACAAGAAAAATGAATTTAATAATAATACTATTAATAATAGCTTAAATTCATTCTACGTTTTGGGTTCCTGTGTAGAAGCATCCTCATCAACCGAGCAAGTAATGGCATTAAATGTATAGAAGGTAATAATAAAATAAAATAAACTTAACAAGCAAAAAGGGATGCGTTTGATTGAGAAGGGAAAACATGGCGGTTTATCTGACAGACGTTTACCCAGAATTCATTTGGAAGCGCGCGCGAAAAGAAGAACAAAGATTGAAATTGGGAAAAGAAGAAGAAAGGGTTGAGTATTTAAGAGAGCGGCTAATAGAGAAAGACGAAGGGAATTAGTGATAAGGAGAAAAAAGAAAAGAAAGTATATGACAATAGAGAGAGGTAAAGATTGGAGATAATAAATAAGAGGAAAAAAAAGGAAAAGTTCGAGAGACGCTGAATCAGAATTCAGTTTGAAAAAAAGCGCGAAAACCAGAGAATGAGTGGGAAGAATTGAAGTGGAATTGTAAGGAGAAGAGGAAAAGAAAAAAAAATATCAGAAATAAAGATGATACGGGAAGTGATATAAGAGAAGAAGGAAAACGGATTTGAAGAAAAGGAGATAAATGAAGAAAAAACTTAAAAGGGATTTAGAAAAATGTCACGGAAGAAACAAGACGAATATAAGAAATAAGGAAAAGAAAAAAAATAAATTAAAAAAGAGAAGTTTTGCGAGATCAAAAAAGAAGGACAAAAGAAAAAAAATTAGGACAAAGAGTTTGATATGAAAGAAAAAAAGAACGAAAGAAAAAAGATCGAAAGAAAGAAAAAAGATCGAAAGAAAGAAAAAAGATCGAAAGAAAGAAAAAAGATCGAAAGAAAGAAAAAGAAAGAAATAATAAAGAGAACACCATGATTAAAGAGGAGAAGGATGAAAGAGAGGAAGAAAAGAAAAGACAAGAGATAAAAAGTAGACACAGAGAAAGATATATATATATATATATATATATATATATATAAGATAATACGTAGAAAAAGAAATGATAGATAGAGAGAGAGAAAGAATAGAGAAATGGTCTTTCCCGATAAACGTCTTTGAGAATCAGTTTTCTCGAATTGAAACCACGAGGAAATATCTCAGTGGAAAAAGGACAAAAATCAAAAACAGAAGCAAAAGTCGAGATAAAAACTTCATAATTTCAAATTGTCCTTGATCACTGGCAATGAGACAATTTTCATCAAGCACAATCCTCAATGGGTGCCCCATAATTTAAGCCTTGTACCAGACTAGGTTCGTAACTATTATCAGATTTGAAAAATAATAACCTAATTTCTACCAGTGCCGTTGGCCAATGTTTTAGTCCAGGTAGAATAATTTGTTTAGATCAGGCTTTCATACCGGTGGTCGATTTCAACTGTTGCGTAGGCGAAAAGCAACTGAACAGATAATGATAGGAGATTAGAAATTTTGGTGGGCATTATAGAATGTTGAATATTAAAAAGGTATTTCAACAGATGCTACCCACCAAAAAATAACCTGTATAAAAACCGCACCTCACAAAAGAAACAGAAAGACAAATAAAAATAACTGTCGCATTCCTAGATAAGACGTAAATATTCCCACAAGCAAGGAATATTTTGTATTTTCTGTACAGTTTTCAATGGTCAAGTTTACTTTTATTATGTTCTTTAATATGGTAGCAGCAGCCTCCGCATAAGTCAGCGTTATTTGCTTTGGTATCTGTTACAACATCATAAAGTCAGTTTACGAACCAGTAACAAACTTTTACCACACAATTTTGACACGTTTTTAAATATTTACTATACAGTGGTGGAAAATGGGTGATGACGCAAAAAATGTTAGGAACACTTGGTTTCGATATTTCAGGGTCTCATAACTGGATATTCGGTGAAAATACAAACTTCCTACTATTTATTTAATGAATTCACCTGATGAAAATCTCGCCGAAGAAAATATTTCATCTGTCTTGCGTTCTTCTTCTTAATATTCAATAAGTCTCGTATGAGGCACTATGAAAGATTTTACACTGTTAACAATCGAACTAATGTGGATGCGCCTTCGTCAGGTGGTTGGAATTTTGAACCTTTTATTTCGTCCACAGGGGCAGATTGTTCTAGTTCCACATGCCATGCCACTTCTGGATGTCTCATTAATTTTCCCTATTTTAACTCAGATCCCCAAGTTTTAATTCACCACTGCCGTAGCCTGGTATTGAACTCACAACTCATTGGGTCTAGTCACTGAATCTAACCAACATATTAATCCACTGGGCCATGAACCATATCAGCTGAAGAAGGCCGGAGCGTACAACGGCCGAAACGTTGTGAATATGGCAATGAAGATGTGGATAACAGTCCGAATAATGTAGATAGTGCAAGTAATCATAATACCTCATCCCAGAGATCCAGTCACCTGAAGAAGGACGGAGCGTACAACGGCCGAAATGTTGTGAATATGGCAATGAACATGAGGATAACAGTCCGAGTAATGTAAGTAATCATATTGCCTCATCTTAGAGATATAGACATATATTGTGTATCATATATTGCTAAGATTAGGTCCACAGATAATAAATCCTGATAGGGTCTCCGGTTCCATTAGAATAGCGTCTCTGTAGAGGCTGAATTAATCTGGCGAGAAGACATATTCTTGTTTCACGCCCCATTCTAATTTTGTGTAGTTACCCAATTCATTTTCTATCTGTATGCAGGCGGTTTGGCCCCAGTATAAATTATGCATTTATAGAATCATGAAGAACACCTTGGAATGCGAGAGAGTTAAAAGATTTTCTGTCAGTTGTTTGACTGCAAAAGTGACGTAAAAAAATTCACTGAACACTAATAAAGAATAGTTTCTAAGTAAAGTACTAATCTAGGAGCTTGTAACATTTAGAATAAAAGTAATAAAAACAGTACAAATAAATAAGTAGATAATAGTTTTAAAAAATAAAATAAAATAACGCCTTTAATCAGAATAGTTTATAATAATGACGGAAATAAAAAAGAAATACTTATATCAACCAATTTTGCAAAGAGCGAACATATTTAAAAAAATATTCTTCTCCCAAAGCTATATATATATATATATATATATATATATATATATATATATATATATATATATATATATGAAGAATAAAATAATATCAGAAAATGTTAAGTAAGATGCAAGAAAATGTCTAAAAAGACAGAGCCAGCCATCGCAAGCACTTATGTTAAAAGGAATTTGAAATTTGATTGATTGGAAGCCATTAAAAAGGCAAAAGGTTCGCCCGCATCTTACGAAGGATTTTCTCCGTTACCGCTGTTCCCGCCAGATATGAGAAGAACGCGGGAAAACTCAACAGCAGTTTCAAGCCTTGGAAAACATATTGCAATTGGATAGGCTATACAACCATGGAAGCAAGGAAGAAAAAAAGTAAGGGACAGAAAGAGAGAGAGAAGTAAAATGATTGCAAGATTTTGAAGGAAGAAAAAAGAATGGACGGTGGGCGAGTGAAGAAAAGAGTAAATGCAAATCGTAAGAAAGGAAACTAAAAACAGAGGCCTTTTTTTTCGAGAAAGAGGAAATGGACGAACGACAGAGATGAAATAGTGAAAAGACAAGGCACAACAACTCGTATATATATATATATATATATATATATATATATATATATATATATATAAGGATATTACATCGAGAACATGTCAAAATCACTACACATTTGCAGTCGTGTTTCGATGCATATCAATGCATCTTATCAAGCGATGATAAATTACCCTAATTTATAGAGTAATTTACAATCGCCTGACGAAGTACATTTGATACGTATCGAAACATGACTGCAATTGTGTAGCGATTTTGACATGCTTTTCGATATAATATCCTAAAATAAAGAATATTGCTCTACTTTGTATTGAGCCCTCTTTTAAATTAAATGTTACGAACGATGAAATTGTACTCTATTCCTTCACATCTTAACTGTATATACTTGTGTGTGTGTGTTTCATTAAAGATAACTAAAAAGGTACTGAGTTTAAGCTTCTTATTTGTCTTGTGTTCGTATAATTTTTTTATTATTATCTTGAATGGACATCAGGTGCGTAAAAATTATTCGAATATCTTGTTTGTACGTGTGCTTTCGTCTATTTTTAGACATTATTAATAATGCTTTTTTTTAAAAAAAAAAAAGAAATAATTTTAACTGAATTAGTAAATTTTTATCTATGTTTCTAGAGTTGTGGGAATTTTTCTTTGTATTTTATAACACTAGATTAAGTGTTTAGCACTTTACTTTATTGTATCGGTAACTGTTTACCTTTTGGGATTTCATTCTTTTTTCTTTCCTTGTTCGAGATTCTTTCATCTCTAGGGTTTTTAGGTCTTCTGGTAAGTTCTCTGTTGATTACAACATAATAAAATTTTTCTATATATATATATATATATATATATATATATATAATATTGGTGTGACGAACAGAGTACCAGCCAAAAGACCTAAAACAAGAAAAAAAATCACAATCTAAGTAAGAGAAAAAAGACCAAAACGACCACCTAAACAATTAATTAAAGGGCTCAATGCCTAGGTTATCCAGATAGTGCAAAAAGCTCTTCAACACGTCAACCCTAAACGAGGCATAGTTCGAATCGCTACATAAGCTTCCCGCTCTTAAGATCTTCAGGCGACTAGATGATGAAATATATATATATATATCGGCATCCGTCCGTCTCGAGAGACGTTGGAGTAGCGTGGTGTGCTACGAGTCTGGGGCAGGATATATGGAGAACTAGAGTTGCGCAGACGTCTACTTCCCCCTCTCGGCCTTACTAGCAGAGTCCAAAGGGGAGGATAAACCAATACAGTTTGGTACCAGCGCGGCTGTAGGAGTTGCCGGAAGGTAGCACAAACTGCCGTCCATCCTCCTTAGGGGATCCACTCTGGGTTTGAATTCAGAATTTTCCTTCTCCTAGACCAGTTGCCATCCAAGGCTATAGAACCCAATCTTTCCTGCTATTTACCCATAGATGGGGGGAGAAGAAGAGGATTCGCAACTTTCCCAAGGGTATTAGCATGTAAGTGAATGTAATGGGTTCGACTGGAATCTCCGATTCCTCAATCCAAACCCCTATCAATTACTCCACCGTGCCTCCTCATAAATATATATATATATATATATATATACATACATACATGAATAAAAAGAGAAGGGGAAAAACTGTTTTTAGCGTTTCGTCTACTGAAGGACTTTATCAGTACATTATCATGACGATGCATTGATAAGGTCCCTTAGAAGACGTAATGATAAAATTAGTTTTTCCGCTTATTCATTTTTTTCCTTTACAATGACTATCCGAAATATATATATATATATATATATATATATATATAGAGAGAGAGAGAGAGAGAGCGACATATGTAATATTAGTGGTAAATATACACATACATATGCAAAATATGAAGAAAAATACAGAAAAAAACAAAAAAAAATCTTATTATGCAATTATGCTGTATTTTTTCTGTATTTTTCTTCATACTGTTGGATCTATATCCATATATTTGCTTATATGCAAAATATATAAATATATATAGTTGCATACACATACATGTATATTTTTTGAATAAAAAAATTCCAAGAGGATAGTATCCAGGTATAACTCAATGTCCAGGACAGTAAGGATATGCTTAAACACTAATATTCCATGGTCATAAATTATTCCATTGGAATCGTAAATACGATCCGATTCATCAGACCTACAAATTCCCACAGGTTTGTGAATTGATGGCTTATTGATTCCAATGGAATAAATTATGACCATGGAATATTAATGTTTAAGTCTTTTTTATATATATATATATATATATATATGTTGGACTCTCTCGTCGTTTTTTGTTGTTTTTTTTGTCAAGACAGCTAGACACCTGCACATGATTTGATTTTAGTGGTGAATGCTTTGTGCAGAACCAACCACACGTTTTGAAGGGCCGAATACAGAGATCTGCTACACTATGTGCCACAAGGACCCTCGTCGACTCTCCGCAGGATTTGAATGCAGAATTATCTTTCTCCCAAACCAGTTGCCATCCAAGGCTATAGAAGTCAGTCTGTCCTGCTATTTACTCATATCTGGAGTTGGGGAAGAAGAACATTCATATACTTCTCAAGAGTTTTAGCACGTAAGTGAATGTAATATATTCGACTGGAATTCGAACTCGGCTCTCCGATTCCCCAATAATAGCCGCCATCCATTACTCCACCGTGCCTCCTTCTTATATAATTACTATAGTTAACCAACGGTCACATAAATAGTAAAATTATATATCAACAGATATTCGGAAAGATAATATATATCGAACTAAATATTATAATCCTTACTCTGACATTGACATTGACATTGATATCAATCCTCATTGGATGCAAAGCAAACGAGTGATTTATGACAGTGTCCTAATCAACTTCGCTTAATTAATAGATGTTGGTGTTCAATCTCAGGCAAAGGCCAGTATTTAAAATACAATTTTCAAAGCTGGTAAGTCCTAATTAGCCCACCCGGAAAAATGGCGTAATACAATCTACACATTTCTTCCTGTGCTATTGTCATGAGAGGAAGGGTTATATTGCATACGCGGATAGATAAACGAGGGTGGGGGAAGAACATCGTCCAGTTTTTGATGAATGTAAGCAACACCTGTTCCGATAAACGAGTCGCAGTTGGGATAAGGCGATGAATGAAACTGAACAGGTAAAAAGGCAATATTATACTCGGCTTTTAGTAATTACACCTCGATACAACACCCGCGCTTCCCTGCTTCGCTACTGTTCGTTGTAATAAATATTCCTTTGTTCGTTTATTTCTGACATTTGTTTGCCTTCTCTCACCCCCCCACTGTTCCAACACTAGCCCAGGAAAATATATTTGTTTCGTTATTATCTGTGTTTTTTGTTTTGTTTGTTTATCAAACATCGTAGCTGAGTGCAATTCGTGCACGTATCAATCACCACATCACAGTCGACCAAAAAGCAACTATTAACACGGGGTAAATATTTGTAGATGATACCACACAACTCTAAGACGCTAAGTGAAAAAAAAAACTAAAAAGACTCGTATTATATATATATATATATATATATATATATATATATATATATATATATATATATATATATGAAGAAAAAATATACTGAAAAAAACAAACAAAAATCCTAATATGCGATTATGTTGTTTTAATGTTTAATGTCAACGTCGGACGTTTCGGTCTAATAGACCATCTTCAGGACATATTCATAAAACATAATTAACATAGACCATATACAATTCAATTATGTTAATTATGTTATATATATATATATATATATAATGAATATATAATCCTTAACAATCCATTCGGTCAGGTTATAATTTATTTCGGGGACTCAGACGTCCATCCTTTCAGGTTAAATTTAATCAGACATTATATTGCTCTGTTCTTACATTGAGCTCTCTTTGGATTTATATCCTCCTTGGAATTATCCCTACTATATATATATATATATATATATATATATACGTTATCGATCTGGAGGGGGACGATCCCACTTTAGAAAGTGACTGAAAACCACACCACGGGTTGACCCAATCTTTGTGAGGGAAATTGGGTAGATGGGACACTTGGGGGCCGTCGATAGCCGTGCTAGCACGAAGTCACAAGTCATCGTGACCGAGAGGTTGAGTGTGCTGGCCTTGTTCAGATTGATCATGCTAGATAACACGCTTTCTCACAGAAGCTGTAACTAAGGTCTGCTCAGCATAGTTGCACTATAAACCACAGTTTGGCTCTATGGGAATTAAACAAACACAAATTTGCCTGAGCTAGCATCTGCAATAGGGATTGGCTAGCTGCCCTAGTAGATGGGTGTCCTCGAATACGAATGGTCAACTATTATTATTATTATTATTAATATTATATATAAAAACAAAAAACAAATGACCCGCATTAAAAACAATCACTGATGAAGAAAAGACTTGAACCAACAAAAATATGGTTCTACAGTAGGATACTGAGAATAACAGAACGCAGAAGTAACAAGAAAGTAATATGGATACCTCAAAAAGAACCAGTCAGAATTTATACGGTTGGTTGATTTTGTTTAGAGACATATCAACCTCTAAGTATTATGTATGCAATTGCAAGCCTTCAACTACACTTAAAATGTATTGTTGGTGATTGTACTATAAATATACTGCTGGTAATTTTACTATGAATAAGTATTGTTTGTAATTTTAATATAGAGTGCGATCAGATGGCTGACTCGAGACTCCTACAGTCTGCAAAAGAGATAGGGGTCAAAAGACTTTCGGACTACCCTGTAGATAGGCATTTTTATGCTTTTACGGCGTTTTGGTATTTTTTTTCACTTAGCTGGGAACCTAACAGGTGCTACCATCCCGGGTAAGGGTCGACCTTGGAACAAAAACAATTAAGAGGCGGTTCAACGCTTCTCAAAACCTTCATTCTTCCGATCAGAGGCCTTGCTGTCGGTTGGAGTGTAATGTCTTACCAAGAACTGGAAATTTCTAGGGAACCTAACGAGGGCTTGGAAAATCTGACACTCAGAGGACACACTAAGGAACAGAGGCCAACACCGCATAGCCAACCCAACGAGCTCGTGTAAATGAATGGCAGAACAGGGTTTAAGAGAAAAAGACAAACTTTACTAAGAGCTCAAAAGGACATTGGGGAGAGTCATTATTGAAAGGGAAACTGCACATAGAAGATAAAATATTTCATTTACAGACAAATCTCTCATCAACGAACTAATAGGGGCCGTTAAAGTTATGATCATAATGTAAATACTATAAACATGTATATATGGCATAAATAAATATACACTTAATATAGATATATCAATCAAAATAACAAAAATAATAGATTTCTCACAGCTACTTTCTCACACAAGCGCTAATCTATCGTATTTTATATACTGTACACCTGTCTTTGTCTACAATTGAAAGGCCAGCCACCGCCGCTAAGCGGTCACTTTGAGAACTAATACGACTCGTTCCGCTAAGCCCGCAAATTTCGAAATACATCGCTGAGGATTTAGAAATTTTTATCCAGTAGCTTTTGTTTTTTTGTTTTTTTTTTTGCCTGCAGATTTTGTCTGAAAGAAAGGGAAAAGAAAGAAAGAAAGAAAGAGAAAGAAAGAAAGAAAGGGAAAAGAAAGAAAAAAGGGAAAAGAAAGAAAAAAGGGAAAAGAAAGAAAAAAGAAAAGAAAAAAAAAAGGAAAGAAAGAAAAAAAAGAAAGAAAGAAAGAAAGAAAGGAAAATAAAGAAAAAGGGAAAATAAAGAAAAAGGGAAAAAAAAAAAAAGGTAAAAAAGAAAAAAGGGGGAAAGAAAAAAAGGGAAAAGAAAGAAAAGGGAAAGAAAGAAAAAAGGGAAAAGAAAGAATAAAGGGAAAAGAAAGAATAAAAGGAAAAGAAAGAAAAAAAGGGAAAGAAAGAAAAATAGGGAAAGAAAGAAAAATAGGGAAAGAGAAAAAAAAAGTATAAATGCATATAAGAAAGAAAGGCCACAACCACCTACTTGGTAGGTGGAGTAATGGATAGCGGCTCGGATTGAGGAATCGGCAGAGCCGAGTTCGAATTCCAGCCAAATCCATTACTTATACGCTAATACGTAGGAAAGGTCTGAATTCTCTTCTTCTCCCAGGCCAGACCGAGTTCTATAGCCTTGACTGGCAAATGGTCTACGACAGAAAGAATGGTAACCTACTGCGGGAAAAAAAGTCTACCTCGTTAAGCGTGTATCACTCATGGCACATAACTGACTGAACATATTTGGCAGGCCTACCTTCTCACGGTACCTTTGGCCAACCTTAATGGTACCCTAGATTCTTTCTTTCTGTTGTTGTATGGACGACAGAACGTCATTCACTATGTGTGATGCTTAAAATCTACAAACACCTTATAGAAATGAAGAATTAATTTTTGTTTTTTCTCCAATTTTTGTTCATCTTGTGTTCGCACGGATTTACATCGCTGAGGTATTGTTTTTCCACCCCCTTTTGTTAGATACATCGTAATACAGTTGTTTAATTGTATTTCTTATTCTATCAAAGAAAAGTACGTTATTTAGATTTTCGTATCAGATATTTTATAGTAAGTGTTTTTTCTCACCTTTTCGGGGTAACTTTGTACAAAAAAAGAAAGAAAAGAATGAACACAATTTATTTGCTAAAAGATATATCTAGGCTGATGCTCAGTACTGCAATATTTAACTACAGTAGGTCTACAGTATTGCTCAGAAGATGAGGTCGCATTATACACATGCTATTCAGGTTTTTCGCAAAAGATTCAGATGTCGCAGTTTACATGAAGTAGACTTATACACGAGTACATACGATTTTTTTCTAAGTTGGTTAAATAAGCAACTTAGACTTAATAAACATCTATCAAATTTCTTTATACCGTATATGTTTCAACTGTGTTCCATATTCTATCAAACAAAAGTCAGTAAGTTATATGCCATGCGTGATACACGGTTAGGCGATCATGACTGACGAGGCAGATTTTTCCCGCAGTAGGTTGCCATTTCTTTCTGTGGTAGACCAGTTGCCATCCAAGGCTATAGAACCCGGTCTGTCCTGTTATTTACCCATTGAAGGAAGGAGAAGAGGATTCATACCTTTCCCAAGGGTATTAGCACGTAAGTGAATGTAATGGATTCGACTGGAATTCGAACTCGGCTCTTCGATTCCTCAATCCGAACCGCTGTCTTCGTATTAAATATATCCAGGATGATGCGCAGTAGTGCAATATTTGACTACGGTAGGCTATTAGTATTACTTATTAAGTAGGCTATTAGTATTACTCAGAAGCTGAGGTCGCATTATACACAGGCTATTTGAAAACAATCAGGTTTTTCGCAAAAGATTCAGATGTCGCAGTTTACATGAAGTAGACTCATACACAAGATTTTTTTCTACGTTGGTTAAATAAGCAATGTGGACTTAATAAACATCTCTCATAAATATCTTTATAATGTATATGTTTCAATTGTTTTCCTTATTCTTTAAAAAAAAAAAAATATTGTTTCTAAATCTTCGCATCAGATATTTTACGGTAAATGGTTTTTCTCACATTCGGTCCTGACATTCAGTGGGGGTCGACTAATACACGAAGCGTATAATCAATATATATATATATATATATATATATATGTAAAACGGTGAAATAATAAAAATTTTTAACAATTAAAATATAAACAAAAACAATTATCGTTCGAAATAACATAAAAATGCCGTATATACTCTCGTATCATGCGACTCAGTACACATGAAGTAAACTAATACACGAGTATATACGAGTTTGTTTTTCTAAGTTGGTTAAATAAGCAACTTTGACTTAATAAATATCTAGCATAAATATCTTTATACCGTATATGTTTCAGTTGTGTTTATTATTCGAAATAACATAAAAATGCCGTATATACTCTCGTATCATGCAACTCAGTATACATGAAGTACTAATACGAGTATATTGTTTTTTTTCTAAGTTGGTTAAATAAGCAACTTTGACTTAATAAATATCTAGCATAAATATCTTTATACCGTATATGTTTCAGTTGTGTTTATTATTCTATCAAACCAAAGTATGGTATCTAAATCTAGATATTTTATAGTAAGTGTTTTTTTTTTTCTCATCATTATGGGGGTAACAAGGAATAAACAATTTTGTTGGCTAAAAAATATACCCAGGTTGATGCAAAGTACTTCAATGTTTGACCAAGGTAGGTCTACCATTATTGCTCAGTAGCTGAGATCGCATTACACACAGGCTATTTGAAAACAATCAAGTTTTTCGTAAAAGATTCAGGTGTCGTACGATAAAAGAAGTAGACGTATACACGAGTATATACGGTGTTTTTACTACGTTGGTTAAATAAGCAACTTAGACTTTATAAACATCTATCATAAATTATTAAACAGATTTTTCTTTTCATCTGAAGTATATGTAATGAAGAGCAGCAGCATTGGAGTGCAGGGTTTTGTGTCCCCTTATCGGACTCTCTTTAATGCTTTTCTTTTTTGCTTCTTTCTTTTAAGTTTTCCCCATTTATTATAAAGCCACGCCCAAACCACTCAAATGCACTTGGAGGGACACCTTATCTTGGTATGGATCAAGTCGTTGAAATAAAAGCCGAGCCTTACTGGCCGACAGATCCCCCACTTCAGCAGTTTTTTTTTTTAATGATATTATTCTATTATTCTATCAGTCTCCCTAATGCGAGAAAGGTTTTCTAAGCGCGTGTTTAGATCTCATAATGACGGCGCTGTCCAATAAGCAAAGCCAAGGATCTAGTTAACCCTTCCGCTCACAAATTCTAACCGCTAATACCACCTATGCCTTCTCCCACTCAGACACACAATATTGCCTTCTTACTCCCAATCTGTCATAAAAATCTTTTTATGTCCTTTTTTTTATTATTATTATTCTGTTTCTGGCAGATCGGACAATTTGTCATTTTATTTTTTTTTTCATTTTAAACGACCACCGGACTTTATTTCACATCCCGACTCTTTATCCAAAAAAATAATCACAGACAAACATATGAGACTGGTCAAATATAAAAAGCAAGAAAACTTCTTTCTCTTCTTCACTAAAGCTTTGTATTTTCTTTTTCTTTCTTTAAAGCTTTGTATTTTCTTTTTCTTTCTTTCTTTAAAGCTTTGTACTTTCTTTTTCTTTCTTTCTTTCTTTAAAGCTTTGTACTTTCTTTTTCTTTCTTTCTTTCTTTAAAGCTTTGTACTTTCTTTTTCTTTCTTTCTTTCTTTCTTTAAAGCTTTGTACTTTCTTTTTCTTTCTTTCTTTCTTTCTTTAAAGCTTTGTACTTTCTTTTTCTTTCTTTCTTTCTTTCTTTAAAGCTTTGTACTTTCTTTTTCTTTCTTTCTTTCTTTCTTTAAAGCTTTGTTCTTTTTTTTCCTTTCTTTCTTTCTTTCTTTCTTTCTTTTCTTTCTTTGTTTTCTTTTCTTTTTTCTTTTTTCTTTCTTTCTTTCTTTCTTTAAAGCTTTGTACTTTCTTTTCCTTTCTTTCTTTCCTTCCTTAAAAATCTGTACTTTCTTTTCCTTTCTTTCTTTCCTTCTTTAAAAATCTGTACTTTCTTTTCCTTTCTTTCTTTCTGCTTAAAGATCTGTACTTTCTTTTCCTTCTTTGCTTAAAGATCTGTACTTTCTTTTCCTTCTTTGCTTAAAGATCTGTACTTTCTTTTCCTTCTTTGCTTAAAGATCTGTACTTTCTTTTCCTTCTTTGCTTAAAGATCTGTACTCTTTTTTTCTTGCTTTCTCTAAAGATTTGTACTTTTATTCCCCCTCTTTATCCCTAACGTGTTATACTTCATTTTTTCTTTCATACACTGAAGCTTGATATTTTGTGTTCGTTCTTGTCTTTGAAACTTTATTTTTGTTCAATCTTCCTTTCTGTTATCGTTCTTAGTTTATCTAAAGGTTTATCTCTCTGACACTTTCTTTTTTTCTTCATATAGGGATCTGTTGACGTGGGCGAGGAGAAATATTTTTCCTCACTTTTAACCGACTTCCAGTGTTATTTTTTTTTTTGTTTTTTTTTAATTTCTCCCTTCTTCGTCATTTTCATCTTTTCATTCTCCGTCATTCCTGAGTTTTCATTCTTCATATTTCTGTTTTTCATTCATCTTTACCGTTGCTTTTTACCACCCCGACCTTTCGACTTCGTCTTCTTTTACCACCCCACCCCTCTGCATTGCATCTTCTTCGCTGCCCTGTACTTCACCATAATTCTCTCTTTTTTTTTCATTTCTATTTCTTTAATTTCCTTCATAATTTCTTCACTAATTTTCTTTCTTCACATTCTCGATTTTTCATTCGTCCTCCCCTCTACGCATTTTCAACTCCTTCGACATTTTTTATTCTTTACCTCAGTACTCTCGTCATTTCCTTACTTCTCTACTTCTTTCTTCAAATTCCCATTTTCTTTTTTTAAATTTTCTAACCGGTTTTCTCTTCCTCTTTCATTTTTCTCTTTCACATTCTCATTCATTTTTCCTTCTTTCTTCACTTTTCTTCAATTCACTACCTTCTTTCAAAAATCTCCGCGTCCATGTGGGTGAAAATTATTTTCCACCCTACAACCTCTTTCTCACAAACGAAAAGTCAAACCTCTTGCTGCAACTTCCATGAAAAGTGCTCAGACGAACTACATTTCTTAGTCCCCCCAACAAGTTCTAATCTTCACAGCTAAGATCCGCCATGCCAAGCCCTTTGTCGCGAACCACCCTCATTCCCTTTGTATTTCATAGTAAGTTTCACTCAACCTGCTTTTTTTCCAGGAACCGCTGCTCTGTGAAACCGACTCCCACGAAGATGCTTCCATGATCACTTCAATCTTAACCTGTTCAAGTCTAGGATTAGCAGTTATCTTTTACACACTCCGCCTAAACTTTACTTCTTACTCTGTAAAACTCTACCTCATGTGGCTCTTGAGCCTTGTACAGAGTGAACATCACTGTGTTAAAAAAAAAA